TTTTATTAAATTCTTTCCCGTAGGAGCTCCTTATTGTTCAAGGTTGTCTTTTGATTGTTTGCTGTGAGTTCTTTCATGCTGTCTCAACACGCATTTAGATACTGCCTGTCGCCGTCTGCGTCGTTCTCCCTTATCTATGCGAATTATGTAAATCGTTCGTTCAGATTTTTCCTCAGGCACGCATACGCATTATTGGACTTACAATAAAACACGCCCAAGTTTAAATTTGTTCCAGTGACAGTTTGATGGCAGGATATTGCGAAATTTCGCAAGTTTACATTAGATACATTGCAGGATCAAGAAACCTTTCTTTTCTCTTTAGCTTGCTTTACGCTCTTTTATACAAAGATATAATGTATCCTGCATACACCAATTGAAATTTCTTGGCTATTCAAATTGATTATTTTAATTTCTATTGTTGCATATAAAATGCCATTTTATAAAAAGATTCTTTTAGGTAATTTTCGGGTATTTTATTTAGCAAACTTTATAAAAAAAATTATTAGCAACATAATAAATTTAATTAATAAATTTTTATATTAAATTATCTTATGTTTAACATTTTTAAAAAATATTGCGACAATTTATGATAATTAGTGAAATTTTTTGAAGTGTCATTATTTGAAAATTATTTTATATTTCACATGTATAGAGTTTGCTAACAATGAAATGTGATTCCATGCTTTTTTGACTTTTTAAATTGCATAGCTCGGTAAAGTGTTTAACGATCGACATTGGGGTCAACGCGACATATTGTAGTTACAAAGTCGATATTTTAATCTCCGCGACTCGACTACCACCGTGACGCCACCAGATTGTATCATATCTGGGATAAAAGATGTGAAGTGAGGAGGAGAAGTGGAAAATGAAGAGAAGGAGAGAAAGTACAGGAAAGGTATAAAGGTAGAAAACAAGTGGTCAGAATAGAAGAGTAACTTGAAAGCAGCTGTAAAAAGGGGGTGGGCGATTTAACCGCAACCTGCCGAAGGGTATCATGGATAGATAGTAAGATTTATGACGTGAGAAGAGAAAAGGGAAGTTCTCTCATGTGAGAAAGAGAGAGAGAGATAGAAAGAGAAAGACACGAGATTACATTGTGGAATAACGTCGAAGTCGAGATCTGGTAAAATCTAATATCCAAACAATGTTTGTGTGTTTTGCAATCTGAAAGAGATTTATCTTATATCAAAACCATGATTTTCACAAGAGCCATTTATCCGGAAATAAATCAATTGTAACTAAATTCTACGATTGATTTAATCGTTTCGGGAAAAGCCTTCCAAATTGTGAATAAAAGGATAAAACTATTCTCACGACACAAAGGAGAACACGATAAAAAAAGAAAGTATGCGCAAGCACGGAACGTTTCAAAAATCGCAACAATTCCCTCGAGGCAAACTAAAAAGTCAAAGTACAGTGTACTAACAGCGAATATAGTGTGGCATAACCGCCAAGATAAAAACAGCGAGAAAAACAAATATATAGACCAGATGCAAGCGTGCAAAAACAAACAATAGCAATCGAGTGTATCCGCTGCAGGCAATATCGAATTGCAAAGTACAAGAGAGAGTCATTGAAGATTCGCGCGTAGTAGCTATTTTCACGAGGGTTCGACTGTCAAACCGCAAAAACGTCGGCAACGAATGTTGCGACTATAACGCATAAGTTTCTTTTGTACGATATCGAAAGAACAACCGTATACTATTCTGGAATTTTCACATTCGTGATACGAATGTTACAAAGCTACGAGCAATCTATAAGTTCGTCGTTTCGAAAGTGCCATAATTCAAACTTCAAAATATCATGAATAAATATTGGAGCATAAATGCTGACGTATTCCAGCGAAAGATTCAAAACTTGACGTGAATAACTTTCGAGAAACGAGGAGGAGAAAAAAAGGAAATAAAACGTGTTCCGAGAAAATTTGATGACGTCGGCAAGATGCAGCGGAAGCAGTTTTACACTTCCGGAAAAAATTTAGGAGATTCCTTGGTTTGCATTAGCATGCTAATGAACGGTTAATCGCGTAGTATTCTTCTTCGACTCCCTTATCGGACAGACAATGTTACTAGGGTAAAGGGAATGATTTATTTTCGCATAATTCCCCGATGTATATGTCTGGAAGTGACAAGAGAAAAAGCACACAGTACGTCCCTAACATCGAGATATGGAAATCGACCATAATCTATATAAATGTTTCGTTCATACGAGAAATTCAAAAGTATATACAATATACATAGTTTTATTAGCAACATCAACATTCGTCATTTTCTTAATGCAAATAAAAATATTGTGATTTTTTTACATCGCTGAACATGAAAATATATTGGGCTTTCAGTAAACAATTCAAACTTTGTAATAATAAAACTGATCAAGATCAATTAAATTAATAATTATTATTACAAATAAGCACAATTAATCAAATTAATAATTATAATTAATTAATTCCAATAATTAAATTGATAAATTTTCAAGACTATTAATGCATAATTCTAAGACACTAGTAAGATATAAACAGGCCTTGACTAATATCAATTAGTCGGAATAATCGAATAGTCACTAGACTAAATGATTTACTAATTGCTTTAACGATTGTCCAATTACTCTCAGTCAATAGCGATACATTAAAAATATATATAACTAGACTATCTCCTAAATTCTAACGAGAACGGTGATAAGAAACTTAGGCCTATTCCAACTCGGTGATTTTTTTTCCAACCTTTTATGTTCCATTTCCTTGACAAGGTGATACTTTTTTTCTGACATTCGTTGAAAACGAAACCACTTCAATAATTTCCACGGAGGAAAGTGACAAATATCTGCATATCTGTCATGTTAGCTTTGTACCACACTGCGAGAATATTCTTCACTCACTTTAGCTCGTGTTATCGCATCACATGTAGCGAGTTATGTAAGCATAAAGATACAATTATTCATGAAATTACAGCATAAGATAATTTTTTAATTATTTCTTCGATTATTGTACCAATTGTCTTATATGTGAGGTACGTACGTGTGCTTTATGAAATTCACAAGTTTAAACGAAATAATATAAAAATTATACATTTTTTATATCTTTATATATTGTAATTTTTTATATACTTCATTTTATATATACTTCACATATTTTTTGCAAGTTTTATATAAATTCCATATTTATATAAGATATGTAGAAAAAATGGATCACGAGGCATTCATGATATAAGAGTGAAGTTCTCCTAAAAGAAAATAAATTGAAATTGTAAAATAATATTTTTTATCCAAGAAAGTTTATTATTTTTTTTGAGAAAATCAACTTTTCAGGCCGAAAGATTACATTTTCCTATTTACTTAGGCTTCTAGAATCTCAAAGATCCTTTTATTCTCATATGCAACGGTCTTAACAAAATATAAAATATAAAATGTCAAAAATGATATTTTCTAAGAAATATATTTTAATGATTATCAAAATAAAAAATTTTAATGTATTAATTAAAAAAATATCTTTTATTTAAAATAAAAGTTCTTTAATATTTTATATATGTGTACTATAACTTTCCTAATATAATTCATATTACATATTTTTTAAATTACTTTTTATAAAATAAAATAAGTTATTTTTTTATTCATATATTTCTATAATTTTTATATCAAGATAACAACTTTTATAAAAGTCATATGTCATCTTGATATACGTTATTTAAACTTGATTTTGTACACGTTTCGATTTATTTTTTCAATCTTTCTCTTTTTTCATATCTTTCTTTTTCAAATCCAACTGTCGGAACGAAAAAATAAAATTCTGTGTAAAAGTTCATATTTTGCGAAATATAGCCACTGTGAAACTTATCTATCTAAATTATCTATCTAAATTATCTATTATACGCAGAAAAGCAGTTCGATGTTTAGGATAAGCCTCTTTGCCTTTACAAAGGAACAAAGGGATGCTCTACTGGGTATCGGACGAACAGGAAGAGATTGCAAAGCAGTTCGACGACGCATTCTAAGCCCTGTTCCTCTGTACTTGCAATAACTTCTCATTAATATTACTTAGACAAGCCGTGTGAAACAAGCTGGCAATATTCGAGTTAGTAATATCATGCATAACAATATATTGTTTCCAATAGCAGGTGTTTCTGCATTGTCTTGTATATTAAATGCCCTCTGTAATAATTCTCCCACAATCTCAAGTTTCGCAGAAGCGAAGAACGGAAATGAAGAATTATGCGAGTAACCCTTGTGCGAATTTGACAAATTTCGACAATGCTCTTTTCCCTTATTGCTTCGATAAATTTATCAGAGCATCATTGAACGGAACATTGCTGGAATATAGTAGCATAAGCGATCGTGTACCAGACATGAACGTTCCAAAGAGAGCAATTCTCCGATGCAACATCAATCCGAATTCTATTTCGAGAAGGATCTGAACGATTCTCGCGTCTATTTGCTTCGATTTCATACAAATTGTGCCACTAAAACGACTGTCGCAATAAATAATAGGACAGAATGATTGATCCCTCGTCTACAGCCTCTCCGTATCTGTCCGTCTCGGTTTCCTTTCTCAATGAAAAAGTCGATACCGTTCGTCGGAACGTCCCTGTGTAATAATGAGTGGAAATAAAGACGAACAAGCGAAATTTCTTCGCAAAATGAGCTTTGAAGAGAGGCTTATTCTCCGCGAAATGAAAAGAAATAATATTTGTCGCATCCTTTTTCCCCCGAAGCCGCTATGTTCAGTCTCGATTGCGATATTACAAATTTAGCGATGGAGGGAGATGTAGTAACAAAGTCGGCGTGAGAAAATATCAATTTCTCTCGCGCTACATCCGTGATTATCCAACATTTCAAAGAAATTGAAATTAATAAAAGTTGTTGACATAAACGACGCAATTAAATTTTTATTTCTTGCCATTTGAGATATTTTATATTACAATAATATTCCCCGCAAAAGAATTAAAAAATAAATGAGCAACATTTTGCATCGTTAAGTTGAATTAATTTTCTGTTTATTTGTCACACAGGTATTCGATAAACATAATCGTGGATATATCACTGCGTCGGATCTTAGAGCAGTATTGCAATGTTTGGGAGAAGATCTTTCGGAGGAAGAAAGTAAGTATAAGTTAAATATTAAGTATTCATTGATGGTCTGTTGCGAACGTGACGCGATTACAGATATAACTTGCGTCGATATTCTCCGTTTAAAATACTTTTGATAAGAGAAACTTTGGCAATAAAAGCTAAAATAGACCATTTTCGTCTAAACGGGCACACCTAAACCCGATTGATTCTCCGAAAACGTATTTTATGGTAGAATTGTGGCGTGGTACTATTCGAATCAATATCTATTTAATACATTATTTTTCATCAAAATTTATTCTTAAAATTATTGTTTATTTGATATCGATATTATAAAAACAATTATCCATCATGATTGTATTCGTAAACAAGTAACATAATTCTGCAAATATAATTAATTAATTATAAATAAACTAATGCGACTTTGCAACTTTACAAAAGCAACTAAATTTCAATCATTTCTAGATAATAATACGTTTCAAAATTAGCTTAAAGTTAGCTATTTTTCAAAGAGACTAAAATTGATGGTCCATTTTCAGTCTAACTTTGCTGAAAATAAATCGGATTGCAATTTTGTCTGATCAAATAAAACGGTACTGTATATTGTTTCTTCGTGCAATATTTAACAGAATTTCCACGAGAAAATGTAGCATTTCTCCAATTCGCTCTTCAGTTATTATCTTTGCTCTGGAATATTATTTGCACACTTGCCCTTGTTATTTCACAGAGTCACAAAACTTGAATTTCCTAATTCTGCTTGTTGACACGCGCCTATCGCAAATCCTAAAGACCACGTCTTTATCGCACCTCACGATTATTTTACCGTGAAAACGTCAGCTTTTCTCTCGCACTCGTGCCAATCAAGTGTTTGCACAAATAAAGCAAGCAACGAACTCGACGAAATCACTCGTGTCATCGTAAACGCCCTGTCGCGCCACAATATCGATTATCGTACGGCTCTTGCCGTAGATTACGTGGATCATCTCCAAGACATATTTCCAATTAACTATTGGTAATTTGATTTCCACAAATTTCACGCGTATTGGAAAACGTATTGAAAGAGATACGCTTATATATCCTTCGGAATACATATTATAAAGTTATTAATTAATACGACTTTGCTTTTAGAATTAATGCCTTTATGTATCGCCATTGTGGATATTCTTCAGACACAATGCATGCATTCATTAATCCAGACCGCAAATCACGACATAATTCCTCTCGGATGCAGGATATTAATCACGATTATAACAATAATCTTGATTGAATAATATCTGAAAAAAAAAATGTAGGAAAATCACAAGATATATCTCGATAACGATATCTATCGATAACGAGCGTCTTTTTCATTTGACAAAGAATGATGTTTTGATCTGCGATACAAATGTTCGTGAATACATACTGCTTAATTAAAAGACGACTAAATAGATTATAAGGTACGAGTCTGGGGAAGACACGAGTGAAAAGATTAACGTTTTACCCATACGTTTCTCCTCGGGCAAAACTCTTCTGGGAGATCTTAATTGCTCTAGAGTAATCTCTCTGACACACGATAAAGTGCAAGTTTAAGGAAAAGTGTAGTAAAAGTTTATATATTTAAAAGAGTATTAAAAAAAATAATTGACGTTTAAAGTAAACGCGCACAGTACTCTTTTGCGCGAGCGTAATTACATTTACTTATAGTTATATTCTTACAAAAATGAACGAGAAGCAAGGAAGTTATCGATATTACTATTGTTCAAATATGATTTAATAATTATTAGCTCGTTACAGACGAATAAATGTAAAGAATGTTGGCATTATCGCAAAATTAAAATGTCAGTTTCAATATATCCGGTAATTGTACGCATTTCGTTCATTCATCCAATATAAACGAAAGTATAAATAAAGTAAGAAATAGATAAAGTATAGATAATGTTTCTGCATCGAAATGTAAGTAAAATATGTTCGTCTATCCGGAAAATCCTGCTTATCAATCGATAGTAATTTGATAATCTCGCACGAACGACGATCAACACAAGTTTCTTGATTGGCCGCAATCAATTTAAACTAAATCGCACAAAGTTCAGGACAGACGCCACAATTGGCAGAATTATGGTTTGTAAACTATTGTACATCTCTACGTTACGTTATTATTATATATCGCAACATTAAATTGTATTACATATTGCGGTTTGAATTTTACGATCGAACATTAGTTTACGTGATATCAGACACATGGCTCAAAATAACTAAGACATCGCTGTTTGAATGACTTTATAAATCATTGAATATCAGCGATTAAGAAAGCTAAAATGTTATATTTTCATAAATATGTTTATAATGAAGATCAACTTTGAATTGAAAAATATGAAAAATTCTCAGAATATTATTTATTTTAAGCGATATGTATGTGAAAATAAAGTCCTTATTAGTTTGAATAATTATAAAACTCGAAATTAATAATAAGGATGTTTAATTATAGTTTTTTATTAATAAATAATTATTAATAAATAATTATTAATTAATTTTGGAAATTTCAGAAAGGCATTTCAAGAAAAGTCCTCGAATGCCAATGTTGTCGGACCATATATATATATAATGCCGTCTTCATTCCTTTTCGTAGCCATAAATTCTGCGTGGAAATAATGCGGATATCGGCAATATCTTTCTTTCGGCATCGATGACAGCACTCGTGATACGAATTAATCCTCACTGCTGAACACGGCAAAAATATATTAATTGAATTACTACAAGAAAATATATATGAATTTTTATGCGAGAAGCTGATAGAAATGTTCGCTTGAATTTGCGTCGAATTTAAGACACACATTTTTTAATCGTATCTGAAATGTATCATATAATTTTTCTTAAAATTTCCAATCGTAATCGATGATAATATAAAAATATGCAAAAATTCGCTCAATTATCTATACCTCGAAGTAAATATCCAAGATTATTTCTATAACAACAATTCTCATTCAGCTGAGTCAGCAATCCCGAAATAAAAACAACTGCATGATATAAGAAGCTTTTGTTTTGCTTTCAGTTGAAGATATGATTAAGGAAGTGGATGTAGATGGGGATGGTAGAATTGATTTCTACGGTAAGATTTCTTTTGCATTATATTACAGTTTCTCTCGTAAAGAAAATGCAGTAATAAATACAGTAAAACCAAAAATTTCAATTTTTATTCTTGAGCATGATTCATCCATAAAATGATCGATGGACTTGTATCTAAAATAGAAAGAAAACGTAATTTTTCCGAGGAAAGTATGAAATGGTAAAAACTGTTTAAGAATTATACAAGAAATAAAGAAAAGGAAAAATATATATTTCCTTTTCTTTTTCTCTTTTCTTGATTGTAAAAATAAATCCACGACAAGAAACGTTATTATCTTAATAGTTAATATCTATTTAATATTTTTTTAATTCTTCAGAATTCGTTCATGCTCTTGGCGAGCCGGGAATCGACGAAGACGAAGAAGACGATGAAGAAGATCTGCAATCTCCGCTGTTCTAAGATCACGTTTATCCTAATCTCTTTGTTAGATAAGCCAGATCAGGCAAAAACGATGCGCAATCTCTCGACTTGCACGAAATATCCTTCTCTCACGTTTGCAATTCGAATCGCGTGCGATTGCGCCTCACAAACGAAACGAGGCTCAACTTTGACTATACGAACCCGTTTACGTTTTATTAGTTCTCACCCTTCTCCAATTTCGAATTAAATTTTAACGCTGGAACGCGAAAGTATCGCTAAACGCATTGTGAATAGGTAAAATATCTGCACTGAGCTACATTATCTGCAAATGATCGCGAATACAGCACAAATTTGCATTTTCGATGTATATTAAATAACTGAGCTTCCTTCGAGCGAGGGATTCTTGATAAATCACGAGTACCATAACTCAATGGCTCGTGAAACTTTATTTGATTACTAGTTATTATAAGCCGCCTGCTGATAAATGAGCGCAATATGAATATTGTAAATTATAATCTCAAAAATTATAATGAATGAGATGAATTTAAAAAATGCGACATATTATTTAAAGAGATTAAAGGATTTATTTGAGAGAGAATACAGATTAATTTAAAAATATTAAAGCAAATAAAATTTTAAATTGCAACGTAAATTCAACGAATGAATACAGAAATAAAATATGAGATTACGAAAAGCGCTTCTTGGCACGTTTAACGAGTCGCTGATAACTACCGCATAATTATGAGACAGGTGGTAACGAATCTCTCAGGGAGATTTTGCCACGCTGGACAACGATAAGCGTTTTTGGCGACGTGCCATAAATTTGTTAAAACGATGGATAAATCATCAGCGGTCGGCTATGGTGACTTTCATCTCGCGAAACGGAAGTTGCTCGGAAAGTGCGGCTGGTGTCATCCCAATGAATGAGCTGTGAGAGTATCAGATAATCTCTCGCGACACGAAAAGCGAGCATTAAGTACGAGAAATGTTAACCTAGTTGAGATAAATTATTCATTTCGCACGTATTTTCGATCCCTGCTTCGATATCAAAGGCAGCACCGTTTCTCGCCGCCTCTATCTTTTTCCAAGTCTCTCGACGCCGCACTCGGCGATTCTTTAAGATATAAAATCGACTAGATCGTAATGAATTCCGTCTCGTATGTGGACTTTCTCTCGATTTTACTCTCGCGTCTAACATTAGATAATGTTATATTCCATTTAAAATAATCTTAAGAGAGGGAGAAAACGCACCGCACATTCTCAACAGATCGCGCCGATGCATGCGTCGCGATAACGCGATCCCCGAGCGAGGGGAAAGAGGAGGCCGAAAGATCGCGTTTCTCGATCAATCCCGCTGATTTGCATAATCGTATCAAATCGATGGACCTTCCACGATCCCTCTTGGAAATGATCGCCCGAGATCATCGGCGTCCAAAAGCCGGACAGGCGAGCGAATCTTATGTCGATCTTCGCTCGCTTTACTTTCTTCGGGCCTCGTATTATGTACCTTAAACGACTATATCACTGTTACGCCAATAACAAAGCCGCACGCTGTTTAAAATATTTTAAAGGATTTAATAAATCGCTAAAAAACATTTTATAGTTGAATTAATTCAATTCCTTTCACCCCATTTCCTAAAGCAATGACTTTGGAATTAGAATTCTTAGGCCCGGTTGCACCAAAGTTATTTTAGTTTTAAACGAGATTTAAATATATGTCTATCTTTATCTTTCTTTCTTTCTAAATAAAGACAGACATATGTTTAAGTTTCGCTTAAAGCTAAAATAATGTTGATGCAACCGGGCGTTAGAAATTTAATCGTATGTCTTCCCTTTATTATGGTTTTCAATTTTTTCTAGTTGTCAAATCCAAAATAATAAGAATTCCTGGAATTGCGATTCTCCGAATTTTAGTTTGTACTACCTCTTTGTTAATTATACTCCTGATCTTTTCCTGATTTCCCTGATCAAATCGGCAGATTTTTAATTTTAGGAATACTTGGAATCGCGATTCCTAGAAATTTAATCCGCGCCCCACTTCTTTGCTGATTTTCTCCTAATAGTTTTCCAATTTTCAAGAATTAAATTTTTTCCAGTTTAGATTAAAATTCTAAAAATTCCTACGCGAATTTTTTCCTCTCGGAATTTTAATTCGTGCTACTTCTTTGCTAATTACGTTTTGATACTTTTCCGATTTTCGATCTTTCCAATTCACAACAAATATAAAAATTTCTGAAATCGTGAGTATCTTGAAATCTTAATTTTAATTAATTAATAGATATTATCATATGAAGAAAATAGACTTTTTTCTTAAACGTTCATTTTTATTAGCGATAAATAAACTTACATATCTTTACAGTAACAATGTCCCTTTCGTAACTCTCGGAAAATATGAGAATATCTATTCGCAATGATTCATATAGATCAAGACTTCCTTTTCGTTTATCGCATTTGGTTGTTAATTCCGCCTTTTATCATCTTCAACGATGAACGAATGAATGAACGAACGAACAAACGAATGAACGAACGCTTTAAAAAACTGAGTACGACACAAACGGTACGTACGTATTATTTTATACGATCATCGTCTACATTGCGTACGTTGTTGTACATGCGATCTCTACATACAAGTCTTAAGTCTTACTTACTTATAATCCTAACAATTAGCGAGCGTACAACAGCCGATGAGAGAAAAAGTGAACAACATAAGACCACTGCTGCTATAAGTATCATAATCGATTGGTGCCTATCGGCTTATGAATTATGTATATGTATATATTATCGGATGTCCTTTTAAATCTTGATATTAATTTTTATCGGACTATCCTCTTAAGTTTCTTTAATCTGTCATCCGGCTAATTCTCTGTTAACTGGCATTTACATGGTCCAAATTACATGCGCTTCTCTCCCAACGTAACATCACTTATCCTCTCTTATTATATGTGTCGATTTTATTCTCGATAATCGATAACTATCCTATATAATAATCTTTCGTAAATCCTATATAATAATCCTTCGAGAATCTTTATATTTCATTGCGTGATCAAAATCGCATTGCGTCATTGCAGATTAGCAGTGATACGTATTAACTGAATTTTATTAGTTTGTCTATCTAATAGACAAGTTTCTATAATCTAAAAAAGAATCATTCACCCAACATTTATTCTTTGACTATTGGTGCAATGTGTGTTTAAGTCTTTGATATCGTTAGACAAAACATTAGACAGTAATTTGATACACCTTCGATCAAAGTTCAATTTAATTTTTCTTCTATTTCTCGAAGATTTAGCATTTTATTCTATTTGATTGATATTTTTCATCAATTCCATCCAAGCGTAGGACGCAATGATCTATCACGTTATTACATTTTTCAAGAAACCCCCGATATAACTGGACTCTTATTTGCAACTCATTCATCACTCACCGTCGTTATTTTTTTGTATCGAAACTTAACTTATCGATCACAGTAGATCGGGCTGTATCGCGGATAAACAAACTTACATTGAAAGAGAAGCGCGATTTTATTGTGTCATCGCGTTGTCGGTGATGCCAGGTAAGAAGAAAAAGCCTTCGTTTTGCACAACTTAAAACACTGGAGATCGCTATCCAAATATCTGTCCGATAGATACGACAAACTTGTCTCTTCTAACAAATTCTTAAATTAATATTTTATTACAAGCCTATCGTATTTATCGCACTGAATCACAGAAAACAAAACACACTAATTTTTCATAATTGTCGTATATAATTTCATACATGTCTTAATAAATTTTTTTATTATTTGGAAATAATTAGACAATCTCCAATGTCTTAATGTTTTATTTGCGAAAAGCGTATACGTTAATTCCTTACGCATCGCATGCGTGCGTGAGTGCCCCTCTTCATCGAAGTTCATGCAGGTGAGAATTCGTCAAAACCTTTACCTCTCAATAGGATCCTTTCGTATCTCTATCTCGAACTGAAATTTGATCGAGCGAATGTATTTTTCGAAAACGGACTAATCGATTCAACGAATGATATCGTATTCAATTCACCTGAAATGACGTTCCGCAAATCGACAAATTTTCCCGACAGATCATCTGAAGGACGCATTTTTCTGACCGCAAAAAATAACGCCCATCATCAAGTATACCATCGAGAAAGTTGAAAATACCATCAAAAATGCGCATTAGAAAAAGACATCAAAAAAGATCAAAAGAGTTGATCATCTTAGAAAATTTTTCGATCACGAGATCTCAATGATTTTAATTAGAGCGATGTCAAGGCAGCGACATATCAAATAAAAAAAGATGTATATACATATATAAAAGATATAATTGTGTCGTGGAACGATCTTTTGTCGCGGAATCGGTCGAGGTTTTGACTTTCTCACGAAACTATTCCTAGTCTCCCTGCTGCATGACTTCTTCTCTATAAGATATATAACACATAATATCTGTCTCAATATTAAGCAGCTATCGCTTATCGCGTCTCTCAAGCGTATCGCGTCCCTTAATACATTGTATACGCAACGACCTATTTATCGTCACGTGCTAATGATCGACGTGACATGATATAACAGTGCGACGCACCGTCGATTATTCTGTCCTTTATCGGTTCATCGATCGATTATCATTGTATCGTATCTCCGTGTAAAGCAGCTAATCAGCTGCCGATACGCTTAACTATCCATAAGCAAGCAAATTTCTTATTCATCGTAAACACAAAAGGGGACTTATGTTTACATCGTCCTGATATTACCAGTGTTTAAGTAAATAATATTCTGCCGGCCGCATTTCTTTCCCTTTCTTCCCTGAAAAATGTTTGTCTAATTTTCGACATGCAACTCTTCGTATCCAAGATCACCATTAACGCAATAATAGTCATTTTTCTCGAGTAAGTGAGACGGTTATTCACTGTAATAATTTCACTTTTCAACGATTGATGCGACGGGTTATTCTCGCCAAGATTCTCGCGCGACGAGCAAGAATTACACACACGAATAATGTTAGAGAAACATGGGGAACACATCTTCTTCAAATTTCCTTCGCAAAATCGCTACGTTTAAATGCTTCCTTCCCCATCGTCTCAATTGCCATACTCGACGCATCTTTGATCGTTGGCTTTAGCGGCGGCGACCGCGGCTGCGAAACGTAATCGTCTTCTTCTAACTAGGGAAAACGTCGACGTCGGACACCTGCGACGGGGACGCGAGGATGGGACCGCGCGACGATCGGGATCCCATCTCGCGACGGGCCCGCCTCAGAGCACGGGCTCTTCGTCAGTTTCGTCGTTTACGTCAGTTTGTTGAGATGAAGAGGTAGTCGCCATGGAATTGCTCGTCTTGGTTCTTCGATGTCGTTTCTGTTGATTGCTGGTATTGCTGCCATTACTATTACCACCACCGCTTGTGCTACTACAAGTACTACTTATGCTGCTGCTGGTGCTGCTACTCGGACTATTCACAATATTGTTGCCACCGTTCCCACCGCAAGTCAAATCGAAGGCGGTGATTTGTCCATGAGCGGTTATCAAGGGCCGTAAAGCTGTGCGTACAGACCAATGCAATCGAGGATATGCGCGTTCCTGCTGGAGCATCAACTCCTTCCTTTTATTTTGTTTCTGTAATATATGAAAAGAAACAAAAATTAATAAAAATATATTTATTTGCATGATATTGTGATAATAAGATTTCTTAAGCCGTAATAATTAAACGTAACGACACACGTCTATTTACGATTCACGGATATATATTTTGTTGCTTAAAAAAAATTTTTGAAAAATACTTGAATTTTACCTCAGATGAAGTTTTTAAATCCTGCGAGATCGGAAGCTTTTTACTTTCAGTAAATTGTCTTAACGCCTTCTCTCGTACGTAGATAAATGGTCGGACGACTCTGAGATCCTCTCGACGTATATAGTAATGAGCTTTCATGGTTTTTAAGATGCCACCATGTAATACCGAGATGAGGAAACTTTCCGTGAGATCGTCCAAGTGTTGACCGAGCGCCAGCACGTTATATCCATTGCGTTTCGCCAAAGAATACAATTGCGTTCTGACTGATTTATCGCAGAAACTACAAGTGCCGCTAGCGACACTAGCGTCCAACGGATTGTCAACGTTAGTGTTAGCCGAGTCTGTCATATGTTCTTCATAAAAATAAGGAACGTCCAGAGCTTTTAAATAACTCATAATTTCCAAGGGATCAGAACCACCCATGTCAACAGAAGCCGCACCAATTTCAAAATCAATCCCCTTTGACCTGGCATAAAATCTATACTGATGCAGAGTATGCAACAGAGATAGTGAGTCCTTGCCATTTGCTGATAGACAAACTAAAACCCTATCATTGTCCCGTATCATATCGAATTCCTGCATAGCTTCCACTGAAGGTTTCCAAATATTTTTTGGTGGGCAGTGCCATTGAGTTCGCGAAAATTCAAGTCTTGATTCATTGTCCTCAAAATTATTCTCTTGACCGTCACCCTCTTCCTCTCTTAAATCACCGGTGCACTCCTCGTCTTCTGAGAGATTGTCATTTTGACGCGCGTGCTGTTTGTTGCCACCCTTAGTCGACAGACTCATCATCGATGTCGTCCTTGGCTTTCGTCCATGACTGTTGGCGGAGTTGGATTCAGCGCTACTGCTTCGTTTCAGATCCAGTGAGTCTATCGATTTATCGCTTTCATGAAAAGACAAGTTTATACCGCTGTCTTGAGAACTGACTGAATTCACAGCAGAGTAGATCTTTGGCAGGATTTTTCGGGTATCGCCAATATCGAGACCGCCACGTCCTTCCTGTGGATCATCATCCACATAATCATCCACATCGTTCTCCACTTCCTCATCTTCGGTCTTTGAACGATTGCGCACTATTTGCTCATTCTCTGGCTTCATCACATAGATAACCGTTTCGTCTGAAGAACATTCACTAGACATCTTGCTTTCCTGCTGCGATAGTTCGCCGACCTTGCTAGTTATTTCGATCTGCCCACTTTTCCTAGAGTTTGACAAACGCGGAGATGATGGGAGTACGACTCTTCCTCGATCGGGTGAACCGCATCCGTTTGAGGAAACATCGGAAGTGGAAGCATCCGGCGAATACCTGTGAAGTCCATCAACGGCGTTCACCATGCACCTATTAAAAAATTCACAATATAATATACATTATAATATTACATAACATTGTAAATTTTTTTATTAATAACAATAAAATACCTTATCTCGGATTTAACTTCGCTCGCCATTTCTTTCGAAAATTCCATCAAATATTCGGCGATGTCACTGGCTGTGAATGAGTCATGCCTTAATTGTTTGTCTTCCACAAATGTTTGATTAATCATGCTGTGCGCTCGTGAATGATGTTGCGGTGTATTTTCGGATGTATTTGTCTCTGATAAAGCGTCATCGACTTTAGATATAACTTCTCGGATCTCTGATTTAATTTCCGTCGCTAATTCCTTGGTCATTTCCTTTACGTACGCGCTTAAATCGTCCTCGGATCTCTGGCTCGTAGAAACAGGTGACAATCTACCACCGCCTACCAATCTCTCGGTATAATCGCTGGTTGATGAATATGAAGACGGTGGTGACGCTGGATTATGATTATAGCTTAAAGAAGAAATCGAATGACTCGGGCTGCCAGCAGAATCCATTTCCAAGGAGTTCAACTCTGTCTGACTACTGCAGCTGCAATGAAGACGTTTATGCTTCGATGAACCATTTATCGTACTCAATCCCAAACTGGTCAAAGTTTGCGGGCTCAAGGGAAGCGGCGGAATCGGCGAGGACGCTGATGCGGTACCAACGCGATTTCCTGGAACGTTGCATCCATCGGTAGTGCTTCCCAAAGAATTGCATCTAGCACGACCGGCATTGGTCGCGTCTATCAATTCTCTCTGCTCCTTTGTCGGTCGAACGGCTGTACGGGATATCGATCCCAAAACCGAAGTGGTCACGGCTTCGCCCACCGCAAATCTGACTGGCATCGGTGAATTCGGACACGTAGCGGGTGATCGATGTCCACCAAAGAAAGTGCCGTGTTCATTTTGATTCGAGCTCTCCTCTTCGCTGTTGCTCGAAGACGATGGTTGATTCAGTTCGATCGTAGTCGCAATCATGGCTCGCTTAACTGTGCTCAGCGCTGGTAGACTACGATGTCTCGGTGAGGTTGAAATGAGCGTATTGCCTGTACGCGGAATGTCGCTGTTCAGTCGTCGAATGCCGTTGGTTAGCGTTAAACAGTTCACTAGACTATCGTGACATGTGACGGCATTTGTGCGACTAAACCTGTTCGAGGCTAACAACGGGTTGAACGGTACATCCTGTTTGACGTTCTGCGAATTTCCCAAGAGGAGATCCTGCGCTTCACTCGGCAACATAAACCAACGTAACGCTTCCATACGTTGGCACACGAAATTGAAGCTCTTGTCGATCTGCAGCGGATATCGCTGCGCCATTTTACGCGCGCGATTGAAGATATTGCGGGCAGTTTGCAGGCAATCGCCATAAGTCTGCGGAAAAACGCCGGAACCGGAAACTCGCCTCTCCGTGGCGCTCATTCTGCCGTCCGTGTATCTAATCGCGCCTAACCATTTACGTTCCTTGAAGACGCTATTGGTATGATGCCGCCATTCGCCGGTATCGGGATTCAATACATATTGCGGGAGCAACTTCCAACCCTCAGTGGCAACCATTTTGAGAGCTTCCAACACAAAGGCAACTTCCGCCTCGGTCATAAAATAGGGAAAAGATAATCTAGCGAAGCCTGGCCTGAGACCCTCTGCGGTGGTCTCCTCGCTGCCATTGCGTTGTCTAAAATAAAATAGTACGTATTAAACTCCCTGCACAATGTGCATGACACTTTTATCAAAAATAGAATCTTGCGCCAAGTAAAACGCGGCGATTTGCCGCGCGGTTGACGTAACGTCTATTTCTACACATGTCCATTACGTGAAATTACGTTGCACCAAGTCTAATAGACAACTACTTCCTGCATTGTCGATCTATACGACACAAAATGTACGTAATCTTTCGCACGTGAGGCGGTATCATTCAATACAAAGCGATGAAAGCAATGATCATTGTAATCGATATAATTATATGTGACATAATTTAAATTTTTTAAAATTTCTAACAACTCTTACATTTATTTGTAAGAAAAAAATATTATTGTAAAATATAATCAACGTCAAAGAATGAAACAAATTTTATTTCATTTTATAAATATTTTCTTTTTCTATGGATTTATTTTTTTAAATCCATTAAATCAATCTGATAAATCGTAATTATTAAAATGTTATCAAATTATTCTATAAGTAATACGAAATTTTTCAACATTTATTCTAAGATTTTACTCGATTTTCAATAACTTTTAAACGAAACCTCGTTTATAAATATATTGATAAAAATTGTTATCACATATTCTACTTATATTAAAATAAATTTATAATCTCTTTATTAAATGAAATTATTTATCAATTCTGATACCAAATATATATTGTTTCGTGTTTACAGCAAAGAAAAATGAAAGAGATTTCATCGGAAATAGATAGGTTTCAAATTAAATGAGTATTAATCCATTAAATGATTATTAATGATATTAATTAAATGAAAATTAAATGATTATTAATTCAAAGAATTGAGACATACTCTTCCAAGAGAATGTTTTCGTATTCCTTGGCAAGTTCCCGGTCGATCCCCATCAGATCGTGAGCATAACGACCTGCGCAAGCGCATCCTCCTCGAGCCTGAATGCCGAAGACATCGTTCAGGACGGCACAGACAAAGTTATGGTGTAGAAACGTGCCGCGAGGATGGCGTACCATGAAAGAGAAGATGGGCAGTCGTTTCACGTTCTGCGACGAGCTGCCGAGTAGGATCAATTCCGGGATTGTACGCACGTGGGATAAAACTTGCCTGGAAAGAGAAAGCGATAATCACATTCAGTATTGCGCAAAACTATCTATATACCGTGTAACTATGCAAAGATAATTGACTAATTCACGAAATTGTAGATTTCTTCGATTACGTATAGGATGTTTCACATAAGCATGATATGAATGATGGCTTGGTTATTATCGTGCCTTTTGTCAAATTAATATCTGTTTTCTTTTGACAAAATTTCTGGAAATGCATTGTTTTCGATGTATCTTATTTTTCAATCAAGTCATTCTAGTTGCAAAGATTTAATCGCTAGGATAATTATATAGTTAAATCATACATTTTTTAAAATGTACAATACATAACGTAATATTAAGTAATTTAACAAAATAGATAAGAATTTTTGTTAGAAATTTTGTTAGCATTTAAAAGAAAAGTACATCGAAATATTCATTACGATACTTCCTTAAAACCATAAGCATGTCAAAATATTAGCGTGAATACTTCATGGATATATAATAAGAATATATAATGAGAAGAAATTACATAAATAACATCTACATTTCATATCAAAACATTTCGTTGTCGTAAAAAAAAGTTGTTTTACTATTTTGCCTTATTAACTCAATTAAATTTGAAGTATTTCATCATAAAATATAAATATATTAGAAAGTACAGTAATAAATATATTATTAATTTATAATAAATTAATTTATAATAAATATATTATTAATAAATATATATTTTTAATTATAATAGAATTATCAAAATCTTTACACGAAAAAACAGCGAATGTAATTAACATATTATTAAAAAATAAAATATCTCAAAAATGCATATCTGGAAATTTTCCAAAAGAAAAAGATGTTTATTTTTTGACAAGAACTACCGGATAACTATAAAACAACTTGTCTCTATATATAATGCTACAGACGTATTTAAGCTCATAATATCTTCGGTTTGTAGTTCGACTTGTGTAAAGGCAATTCTCCGAAAGAAAGAAAATCATGAATTATTCGCGAATGAAAAAGAGAGCACCAAGAGTCGCTCCGTCGCTTTCTATGATAGTCGTTCTTGCTCGTAAACAGGAAGATATTTGCGGCAAGAAAATTACTCGAAACGATCAGTATTGATTCATTTCCTGGACAGTGCGAAAAAAATGAGCGCTATCTTGCGTAATCCGCAATTTCGATCATGCAACAACCTCGTTCTTAAGAGAGGCCTGAAAGAAGCGATCGCTCACCTAGAAATCTTATCTTGTCGAGCGACAATCGCTCTCGGCGTGACGTTCTCTTTCAGCTGCACCGCCAGTCCGCATCTGATGCTCTCGACCACACCAGCGGTACCGCTCTCCTCTCGCAGTTCGGGATCACGATGATAGCGATGAGAGTCCCTCATGTCCTCTGCCTCGACGTCCTCTCGTAAAAGCCATCGTTTGGTCACGAGTATACCAGGCGATTGCACGCCGCCGATAAATTTGTGACCCGCGAAAATAATGGCATCCTTGTGAACCGCGGTCTCCCCGACTCCGGGTAAATGTGGATTCATATCGATCTGAACATACGGCGCTGAAAACATGATAAAATAACACGTTGGTGATTCGTTCATCGTCAAGAGCTTCCATTCCGATATCAAACTGCCTATCGTGTTCGTTACGTAACGCGTGAGCACGCTTATATAAAAAGCATATTATGTCATCAATAATAATATTTGAATTATCTTAATTGTGTAGAGATATTTACACTAACTGTCTCGTATGACGAAATATATAATTGATACACGATGAATCGACAAAGCCTCCGGCAAAATCTTTAAAATTTTTTACGTCCAAAATTAGCATGACACAAAATTATCGAATGTCTAGTTTTTACAATCAGCTGATTAACTAGCTCCTGCTTGTCTTTCTCGTCATAGCTCGTCTGGGAGACCGTATTAGCTAATCACATCGGATCGGCTCGCAACCGGTTCTCCTTTATCCACGTTCACGAGCATTACCTGCAGTGGTGTAATCCCATACGCTAAGCGCGCCGTATTGGTGCAGCAGGAGGGTCGTCGCGACGTCATCTGCCAAAACCCCCGTTATGCAACTGGCAGCGCTGAAGCATCCAATCATTTGCGTAACGCCCTCGCCCCGCATTCTAGTCAGTCCTCGTTCGAGATCATTCAGATCTAGGAAGCCCTCCCGGGTCTCGGAAACTCGTACTATCTGCAAAGCGGTTTAATTGCTTCCATCAACGATTGTCGTCACTCGTGACAATAACGCGACAAGTATGCCCGCAATTAGACGGCTAAAAAGAACGATCAAGCGTCGACTATTTTAAGTTAAAGGCTATTTGAAAATTATCGCACCTTGAAAATATTTATAGGGAATGTTTCCCGAGGTTACTGCAAAATATGTTAGGGACAGATTCCTCGACGGAGTTGAAATCGGGCCGTTTAAATATTTATACGTATATTTTGTGTTTGCGCATTTACATTATTACTCTAACGATCAAGTTCGACGATTTTTAAAGGGTAATAAAAGAAGACTAAGAGACAACGTATAAGGTCGCGATGAAAAGACGGAATGGCTCGCGTGAGCGTAAATGGCGCGTTGCCAAAAGCTCGGAGCTGGCTACGTCGCGTTCGTTGCGTACTTCTTCATCGCTCACGCACCATCTCTCCGCATCACGCCCCGTTTTAACGATGCACTTCACCGTCGCACGTTTTATTGCCCGCTTCCTCTTATCTGGCTCTCGAATCAGCCGCTCGGCTTTTTCACGTAAATTTATCTGCCGGCTGTCTTACCTTGACATCGAGCTCGCGCCAAGGCCTCAGGTTGGCGTGATGCTCAAACGGACCCACGAAGACCACGGTGGATTTCGAGAGATCGAGGTGTCGTAAAAGTGTGCGAAGGGCGGCGGCGGTGCCTTGACCTGTGAACAGGACCGCATCCTGCTCGCCAGCTCCAACCGCATGTCTGACAATGTCTCGGGCTTCGTGCCTGCAAAACATAAACGTGCGAATGCGTGTGACTCACTTGTGAAGCGGAATCGGAGATAAAGGACTGGCTAGCGTACAATTTCTTCGTCTCGAAGAAGACGACGTGGCAATCGACAGTGACGACAATATACTTTCTATTATGCTTTAGACTATGTATGATAATAAAGCTATAAAGTACATGTCTAATGATATTTATAAGCAATAGAGACACGTGAATTCACGCTAGTACAATTGATGCAGAGTCAATATAGATCTAGCGTGACGTCTGACGTAAGACATGAGACATGAGTTGAACAGCAATGTATGCACCTTACAATTTACATAGTTTTTATCGATTTCGGCGACACATATCCCGTCATATCCGTAAACGAATTTATTCACTTGACAACTCTAATTCTTCAGAAGAGGCAACTTGTCATTTAAAAAATTAACTTTTGTAACATTAATTTAAATACACTTCTCGGATTAAAATATAAAGAATATGATAACATTTTTTTATTAAATAATAATATAATGCATTTTGCGAGTCTTTAATAACAGATATATAAATGTATTCAATAAATTAGAAAAAAATATAAGAACAACTTATATCTCTTCTTTATATATTTTCTCTGAAAATAGCGTTGTTACGTGTCATTTGAGATAAACAACGCGTAATCATGAGACAGAGGGGATAAAATTGCAGCTCGTAGCAATTTACCGTACATTGTGTACACGTGTCTCTGAATGTGTCGTTCATCACGTGATCAGGCTGTATGCGTCGTCATTATTATCATAATTTTCTCATCGGCTACAGGGCACAAGGTAAATACCACGACCTCGGGGGTGGATATTGATCTGGGACATCAGCGCCAATAAACGGAAGAATCAAGACGAGACCGGGCTCATGCTATCGACCCGGCCGAGTGAGATTTACAGGCGACTTGATCTACATTTCTCTGAGTCGTTCTCTGAGGTTGAAAGTTGTCGTCGACGATAACGAATAAATAGCGGGCACTTCGTTGTTGCGATAAATATTTTTTTAATGAACAAACATGCACTTTACGTGCGACACCGATCGAGCTTATGTATGTCGCGGTCAGGAAAGTTTCCGGATGCGAGACATGTGTATCTTTTAAAATTGGCATCGTGAACAAAACAACGTAAAACGCGAATAAAATTGCGAGAATAACTTGATGAAATCGCATCTTAACGGATAAAAATAACGGATCTGAAATTGCAGGGATAAGATTTAATAGCATGGTACACGTGCTTGAGATTATCTGCGTTATAGATATGAGGTGTTGGAAAATTACCTAATAACGATATAGTGTCCCACATACCTGATGAAATCTGAATTAAGATTAATCTATGACAGAGAGGGATAATGAATGAGCAGTTATATCATTATTGAAATTAATTATAAAAGTATACAAGAAAAAGAGAGAGGAGATAAAAGAATATTTTTACAATAAATCATAAAATAATAAAATAAAAATTAAATGTAATGCGAGATGGATTAGAAGACGAATCTGTGGTATAAAAATATAATAATGAAAAAATAAAAAAATAAAAAATTAATATGAATAAAATTCTATTGTAATAAATTGCAATAAATTATATCTTTTTTCATTCATATAACAATTTATTATGTGCGATCTCAGCAAGAACTAAACTTCTGCATAAATCGTGTAAAGAGCACATTTGTTCTTTCGAAGGACAGGAACTGTCAGGTCCATTATTGCTTACCTAAAAAGAGATGATTGTAGACTGCAGATGGACGTGGATGCCCGAGTGTCGCCCAAACATGGCAACACCTCCTTCGCGATGTAATCTTCAAGGAACTGTAGTGACCTTCCCGAGGCAGTATAGTCGCAATAAACCACTGAAACACAAAATGACGCCGGTGAAAGGTGGATGTAAATAATAGACCTCTGCTTTCGCGAAAAGTTCAAGTTAAGAGCGCGAAAACTTCATTTTTTTTATTTTTTTTATTTTCTGGTCGCATAAAATAGTGTCACGCGTGGATTATTTTATTGCGCTGAGATTTTATAGAGAAATAAAGAACAAGATAATTGTCTTTTATAGTTTATTTATAAAACACGAAAAATAATTGTTGAAAAATTGATTAATTATTCATTCATAGCGATCATACAGTTAGATCAACTTGGAAAAAATCTCATTTAATTTTCCAATAATATTTTACATATCAAATTTTATCTCTTTTTTTTTAAATTCTCCATGTTTACAAAGATACTTCACTACATATCGCAAAGATGCACGTGATGGGAGCAAACAGAAAATACAGAATCTATTTATAGGTATACGTTGTCAACGTTGTGTGTATCGAGGTGTTAAAATATCTGGTTTAAACTGCAAAAAGCTGCGTTTCCGTCGCTATTTCTAATCTTTACCGAGTCGAGTTTGCCGAAGAATGGCTCAACGCAGCGCAAACAACGTTGTGGGCGGCAAACGTCGATTGAAGTCGGTTTACTTTACCGCTTCGAAATCCGTTCGGAATATCGTCCGCGGAGTGTCTCGAGTTCCTCAATGAGATTCGCGCCCAAGGCACGAACGATCAGATTGTATCAGAATCGTATCGCAAAATATGCAAATTTATTCGCGGGAGAATCCGTTACATCTCCATAATTACTTTACGCTCTCTCGCAATCGCTCTACACGATCGGGATTGCCGTCGTAAATCTCGCCGATCTCTTTATACAACTCGTATATAGAACGCGTCGCGATGAGACCTAATCCGCGCGGTGGACTTTTGTATCCGCGATGCATCAGCTGACCGAAAAGCGGAGAAAGCCGCTCTTTCAATCCACAATTCCCCGTCCAAGATGCGACAAATTTACCTCAACATTTCGTCCCAATATTATATCCATTGCGTCTCTCGAATTCCTAGCGTGCACAGTTCGTCCGTTCGAGAGACAATCCATTCATTGCTTAGAGAGGCGAGCGGGCAATTCTTTTCTTCTTTTTTTCTTCTTTTTTTGCGCAAGCAAATCGAATCGCCGGGGGAAAGCCAAGGTAGGCGAGGGATAATGACTCGCAGGTGTTTCTTACGAAAGCGCTTGATCGACAACCGGTCGCGGTGCGAAATTATATACGCGAGCGAGCGCGCAAAACTTTCGAGAGTTTAGGCACGCTAGAGTGCCACGCTCCTCTAATACGTCTCTCCTCGTGCGAACCGCGGTGACGCGATACGATCCGCTGACTCGGCAACGGACATCATCGCGTCGCTATCGAGTTCTGCGGGCACCTGGTGTTCGCTCTCGCCGCATCTAATTAGATAGGAAAACATCGTTAAAATAGCGCGAAGATTACTACCTACTGTGGTTTCCTCTTTCTAGACGCGATCTTTCTTTTTTAATTTAATTGCTCGGAAATTATTCCAGTCATTCCTCGTCGAAAGCCAGTAATTATTATTGATCTCTCGATGTACATTTATTGGAGTAAAATATTTTTATAAGCTGGAAAAGAGAGGAAAGAGTTGTCACGAAGAGTATCTACTGGTTTATTTACAGTTTGTATCATCGATTATGCAAGTCTTCGATCGCACAGATATACGAGATTACTATCGAACGTTGGTGTACAAAGAGAGAATGCGGTGTTTAATTTATTTATCGCGCGGATCGAAATAAGTGACAGCTCGCAATTCGTTCGTCGGCGATAAGCCGATGATTTTTATTAAATTACGTCCGGCCGCCTCTATTTTCCGTCATAGATGTAACGTCAAGATATATTCCTCGAATATTCGTGTCGTGCTCGTAACCGACGCTTAGGGCGAAATGCGCGATCTTGTCGATAAGTCCGGTGAACGGAATGGATATGAAATCGCGTATGTACGGAGCCGACTATACTTTCAGTTCCGCCGACGATAACCGATTCCGCGGAAATAATTTGAATACGTAACGAGCGCGATCCGTGGAATACTTATAATGTCACCTGGGGCATGTAGAGTCGCGACGCATTATGTGCAAATGTATGTTACAGCGACGTAAAAGTACATATTCCAAGAATATATATAAAATTCTTCGTTCTTTTTCTTGCAAAAAAATTAAATACATTTACAATATCCCGTCTGAATTCCGAGTTCTTTTAAGCATTCGAGATATTCGGCGACTCGAAAAGCGTCACGCGCTATATCTCAGAGATAATCACTTTCTCTCCCGGTGCGATATTTGCATTTGTCGAAATATAATCGCGAATTAATCGACCCGAGGAACGGATCGATCCTTTCTCGAGAGAGGCCCGCGGGTCTTCGTCACGATGGACGTAGATCGATCTGAATTTCAAGGATGACACTTGAACGTCAGTCGGCCGTGTTTCATCGAACGACTCTTTATTTGCTATACAAGCATCCTTCTTCCTTTACGTAACTAGGACGCGAGTCGCGTCCGTGGAAAGAGGCGAGAAACGAGGCATTTACATCGCGAAGAGAGCATCACCGATATTATTTATACACCGGATTCGCAAAAACAGGCGATAAATTAAATGGCGCTTAAATTTGGCACCTCCACAGCTTACGAGAGGCAGTTTTCATCGGGAAGTAAAAAAAAGTCACGCGGCGGCGATCGCTTTGATGATACTGCGGGACCGCAGACTCGCTTTATTGTCTTTATTGCATCGCACATCACACGTTTATTTCAACAGCGCGATACGATGACATTACATAGTTAGCTAGCGATAACGTATGACATGTAAACTCGTCCCGTCGCGTCAGCGTCGATTCTACGAACGACACGGAAGCGCGGCACTTTGATGTCCCGATAGTAGCAGATGGCGGGAAGTCGGTCGATTGTAATTACCGGCGCGTTTAGCGGGAATAGGAATAGATTTCTACATCCGCATGCGCGTTTCCGCGTATCGGGAGGGCGTTTCCGCGCGGAATTATTTTAGCCGCATGCCAACTATGCACACGCTCTTCCGTCTCGCGTTTCGCGAGGATCGCGTTTTCATCGCGCTCAGAGAAAGAAAAAAAAGAGAGAGAGAGAGTCTCTTTCTTGACTAAACACAGTCATAATCCAGAGTCCAGCCAGCGTCGTCGCGTCGTCTGCGCTTAGACCGTTGGAGAGCGAGCTCTTTTGACCTCGCAAGATTCATTAGCATACGGGGCCAGACGTAGGTGCGGGACATCATCATGCAAGCCGTCTATCCGGAATGCTATGCAACGCGCATCTTTAGCAAGCCTTTAATTAGACGTGGAAAATAATTAACGCGACGCGACGCGATGTCTGCTCGCGCGAATCGAAATTGAAGACTTCGAAAACAATCATTTTATTAAAAACTATTGGAAGAATAAAATTTAAAAAATGTATGCATATCATAATTCAATTTTCTCATTTCATTTTTCTACGAACTAAAATATTTTTACGCGCGATTTTGCATTTCTTGTCTCCGATATCTTTCAATTTTAAGCAATTACTGATTGTTTTTTAATATACGTTTATCTTTATTTATGTGTAGAACAATTTTGCCATTCTAAATAAATAATATTAACATCGTTAATTATAATTCTATTATCCCGATATTAAACTATTTCATCAATCTTTCAAAAATAAATGTTTAGAAAAAGCTATATCGTAAAATAAGCTTTTGGTTTATTCCGACTGCCTCGGATGATTTATTATTAATTTTTAAAACTAATTAAGAATTGCTATACATTGCAAAATCATTCTACAATCTTTGACTACAACAGCACACAATTCAATAGGCACAATCCCTTTGTAACTATTGAAACTATCGCACGCTGTTGTTGGATATTGTAGAAATATCAAAGACTGTTGAAACAATGCTCATGAGCAAATAGAATATGTACCATGTCCTATTTGCATAAATATTTATAATTGCGAGCCAGTACAGATACTTTTCTCCTCATGCGACTTCAAAGCAATGTACGTGGACAAAAGGGTTGCGAGTAGAACCTACATATTTATAAATTCGTTGAATATTGAAATTTATACGCGGAGAAAAAAGAAGCTGAGAGGAGAGGTAACAATGCGAATTCAAACACCTCGAATAATGTACAAAGTATAAAAAAAATTATGAGTGGCGCATCGAGGTTGCTGTCGCAAGCGCTGATCGAACAGTCGCGACCCAGTTCCAAGTTCGATTACCCCCCACCTTTTTAGTCGCGTCGATGTTCGATCCACCTCGGCTCGTAGAATATAACTCTCGGCTTGAAGCCAGTCTACTGAAACTTTAACTATTGGGAAAAAAAAAACGCTAAAGTTCGTCAGCGTATCATGTGAAAATAGGATGATCTCATATTTGTATAAATGCGAAAAAAGGAAAATAAAATGACGCACAGATTTTATAAAACAAAATTAACTTATTTTCATACGCATTTCTCTTTTTTGTATGTTTGTCTTTTATAAAAATTATTTTATTATTACTTATTTGAACGCGAATGATTAAAATAAATATTGCAAGCATTTCTTAAAACACGTTTTTACAATAGATGACATTAATATTGATAAATTATAGCGAAATGAAACAACAAGAGCGTTATTTACAATGATATATTCGTTTTGAAATTTTTATATGACAAGGTCACATACAAACAGAATATAAAATATATATTTATCTTCTTCTAACAGTGTAGTAAAAATAAAATTAGAGCAAACGCATAGGAAGTTTAAGAAATCTGAGAAAAAAATGTCAAGCAATGTTTCAAAAACAGAGGCTATGTCCTCGACCAGTTGTTTAGTCATTTTTTCTAATATACTTCAAAATAAATCAGAAATCAGAGCATTAAACTAGACTTACGTAATATTTATATTTAGCTTTTCTCAACTCATAATATAGTCAGTTTATAGAACATATATTTATATAATTTAATTTCGAATCTAATTTACATATTTAATTTAATACTTA